ACTTACGTCTATGTATTATAATACTTTTTAAAAGTATGAACACTATAAGGAAGCTAAAACTTCATAAGCGTTTTACATGATATATTGTCGACCAAAACAAACTGTATAAGAATTAAAGTACATGTATTGAATTCACAATATGAAAGAATTGTAGGAATATTTTTTTTAAGCCACCCGGTAATTTTTAAAATTTTCAATATGAAATTTGAATCAGCTTTGACATATTTGTTTACCTGGAAATACAGACCAAATTAGAATTTATAATCAGGAGCTTAGAAGGAAATATTCATGATTCTTTCTTCTTTATATATATATATATATATATATATATATATATATATATATATATATATATATATATATATATATATATATATGTATGTATGTATGTATGTATATTGTATATTTAAGAGGGTGTGGCCAAAACAAAATCAACATTATGAAATATTTTCATTTGTCAATATTTTAGAAATTTAATATTTGTATCATTTTCAATCCAAATAAAGCTCAACAAAATGCATTTGTGTAACACTGATGCCCTCGTACGACAGCTCAAGGCCAAAGTGAAAGTTTTTCTCCGAGGTCAAGAGTTAAATAAAAATGTTGATACCCAAAAAAGGTCTTGTCACAAGGAATATACATGTGAAATACAATAGCCCAAATACCAGGAAATTGAAAAAATATGGCCAAGATTCAAGTTTTTAAACGTAAGTGATACATCAAGGCAAATATAAAAAAAAATAATGGTACCAAATTAAAGGTCTCTTCACAATAAATGCATAAGTAAAAAAGCACTAACGGTAACCATTAAAAAGTGAAAAGCAACTACAAGGTCAAGGTCATTACATGTACCTCAGAAAGAAAGGTCATCTCACAAAAAATGAAATATGAAAGTCCTATCACCCACGGTTTACAAGTTATGGTTGAGGTTTAGATCAAAATCAGAAGTAAATGTCAGAAGATAAAAATTTTGGTACCCAAAGAAAGGCCTGTATACATGAAATACACATGTGAAATATTAAAGCTCTAGCTTCACCGTGCAAAAGTTTCCACATCATAAATGCTGAAGAGCAGGAAGCGTTAACATAGGGGAAAGTATGGACCCCTTAAAGCACCTGATGTGATCTCAAGTGCCACGGAACAGTAAACATTCCCTGTCGACCAGTCCTGTGCCCCTGTATCGATCAGGTAAATGTTTATCCGTCAGTGAAAATTGTATAAAGAAAATGGCATAACAGTTGGAGGCAAACAATAACTGTAAACAAGGTAATTACAATAAACAAATAAGTACCATAAAATTTGCACAATACTACTTTATAGGAGGATGTTGAAATTCTGTAAGGTTAGACAACTTGTCAATAGATTGTCCCAGTTTTATATTGATCGCATTCAAATCTAATAAAATTCCGATAGGCGGCATATACGCCAAATGTCTGTGATAAATACATGTACATATATGTAAAAGTAAAAAAGTTAAAGCTATCCAGTCAGTGAGGGGGGGGGGGGGGGGCGGCTCTACAGTGTTTCACTATGCAATACAAAGCAAAATTTCATTTCAGTGTGAAAAAATATTGAAAGTGGAATTAAAAACTCATAATGAATTGGAAATGTTCAATGTTACCTAAAATCGAAGTTTTTTTGTTGGTATGTTATATATGTACTATTAGTTATGTATAAGAATCATTGAATTACACTGTAACAATATGCAAAGAATGCTAAAAAATGAATGCACTTTTGGTGTTATTTTAAGCACAATGAATGATAAAAAGATTCCAATCAATGTGTACATGTGATTAAAATGTCCTTTAAATTATACGAAAACGCATTATTGTCATCATTTCGCAAATTCTATGATCGATAAAATGACCTTGTCAGCAAATACAATCTATCATTAAGTCAAATGCTGACTGACGTTTTCCATACTAATTGTCAGGCCATTACTTACACACTGAATTGTCTATGGATTTTTCTGTTTTTCTCATCATGACAAGGAACACACGGCGAGTGTGACCGGTCTGCAGAGGATGCTCACTCCTCCATGGCACCTGATCCCGCCTCCGATGTTTTTGGTGGTCCGTGTTTGCTCTGTTCCCGATTTGTATTGTTAAAATGGACTATGAGCTTGAATCATGTTCGTTATCTCCATATTTCATTCATTTAAAATTAATTAAAAATCCATGCAATAATTAAACACACAAGAAGATATGAATTTTGTCTGCTATGACCTTATTCTTCCAAAGAGTTATTCCCAATTTATTTTTGAATTGATCAAAACTCTTTTGATTGCACGTGAATGTGATTCAAAACAGTTGAAAACGCCCGAGTTTTTGCGATCGAACAAGCTTGCTAGATAGTCCACCTCAAAATCCAATATATGGCGTCGATCGATGGATGTTGAGTTTTACCTTTTTTTAAACAAATGCCAAGTAATAAATAAATACTGCGTTTCTTTTATTTTGGAATTTGAAAGCCTGATAAAGAATAACGAGCCAGCACCTACTCCGACACTAACCTAGTTTAGTACAGTCTTATCACGTCCCGAAGTGGGATTCGAACTCACGACGTAAGCATCAACTCCTCACTCCGCGATTCTAGTGCAAACCCTCTAACCACTGCACCACATCGAATGTTAGTTGCATTACCATAACGATGTCTGAAATGAGGAAAATGAAAATAACGAACAGCTAGGGATCGATCTCAAAAAATATATAAACAAAACAAATCAGTGAACAGGGCATAAACACGGACCTCCGAAAATTCCAGAGGTGGGATCAGGTGCCTAGGAGGATAAGCACCCCTTATTGACAGGTCACACCCTGATCAGGTAGCCAGAATATTTCCGCAGTCGAATTCAGTATAAAAACAAAGGCCAAGCAATTTGTATGAGACAGCCAAAATAAGACCCAATCATATATTATATTGTTGTTGTTATAACGACACTAGAATTTACAAAAACTGCTGTCTTTAAACGACATTGTTAAAATCCCTGTAACGTCAACTTATCTTTCAGTAGCTTGCCTCGGTTTAAAAATTGATCGTCTCGGAGCACGCTTTTGAGTATCAAATAAGACGGGAGATGTAAACATACATGTATGCAGGTGATAGCGAATTATTTCTACATAGATAAGGAAATTTGACGATGGAAAATCTGATATCATGTCGCTTACCATACAATTTATTTGTTTGTTGACCACTATCGTCTTTAGTCAGTAAAACATCTAAATATATGAAACAGATGTGACAGACTCTGTGGTGTCTTTTATTACTAGCTCACTGGGATCTATCGAGTAAAAATATGAATGGAAGTAACAATTGTTAATTGATAATATCGATACATGTATCTCTATATATATCTTGACAGCTACAACAAGTATTTCCTTCTCTTGTAGAAGTTTCTAAACTAATTCTGCTTCATAGGAATATAAACACAGGTCGGCTAGTAAAGGAGCATAAGTGCCAATTAGAATTCCAAGAAATTTAAACGGAGAACGTTGAATCAATTTATTTGAAATACCCATTAAATCAAGATGAGTTTTTTGGTGAACTTTTGTTGTTTCCACGAGAAAAATCCTCGGCAAGATGCAATACGCAAGGGATTGTGACTGCAAAGGTTTCTGTGGAAAAAAAATCATTTGACCCATTTGCAAAGTCAGAAATTTCTCTTTGCCCAGGCGTTGTCGTAAGAGCTCGCATAACGAGCGGGCCGCTTACTTTTTCTCACTATTAACAATAAAACTGTCTCTCTCAGTAAAAATGTAGTAGTTCTCCATCGCAGGATTACTCCCTGCAAAATCAGAGCTACACTTTTGACTTCTCCCTGATTAATTTAATATTTACCTGTTTAATTAAACTTCTCTTTCACAATTCTTTAAAATACTGTGTGCATAGAACGAAATATAGGTGTGATTCACGGGGAAATTTAATATTTCTGAGAGTTATAGGATCTTACTATTTTTCCATTAAATGGGGCTGGGAGTTATACATGTTTCAGTTCAACATTTTATTGATTGATGCAAAAGTAATGACGTAATACACAAGTACACAAAGGAGTCAGCCTAATCAATGTACATCCTAACATCTCCCTTCCTTTGATAATGAATGACAATTATATTTAAAATTCATTTACAAGTTTAAATTTAGGCATAATCAATAAAAAAAAATGTTTCTGCTTTGTAAACAAATCTTGAAACATAAAGCATGAGTGTTTCTGCATCAAAGAAATGAAAAACTGAAGTACATTAACATACTTTCTGATATGACACTTATTGCATTTGAATAGAATAATTGCAAAACAAGAAAATAACTGCAAAACAGAAATTATACTTTGAGCAAACTATTCACAGAACATAATCCTCAAGTTTCTTTGGAAGTTTGGGTACATGTGAACTTGTTCGATGGCTTATTGGGTTTGCGGTAACAGTGTTTGGTTCACAAGGCTTTCGCGGAGTTAGAATTTTAGCAACTTTAAGGTCTTTCACTTCGGATTTTTCTGTAATGACTGGCGGTGCATCAAGTGCATCATCGTACTCTGGAATCGACTGCGAATTGGCATCATAAGGTTCGTTTGTTGCTCGAAGGTCTCTACGGTTTCGGCGATATTGTTTGTCGTTGATCTCTACAATGTAGGAGCGCTTTCCAACGTTTTCCACGCAAGTACCGTAACTCCATTTCTTTTCCGGGTCTGTATTTGGTTTCATCCTGACCGGTTGGCCAATTTTAAGTTTTGGAAGTTCTTTAGCACTTTTGTCATAGTAAAACTTAGCCTTTTGTCTCTTGAACTTCACTTTATCTATTACATCTTCCACGAGTTTGGGCTGGAGTAATTCCTGTGACAATGGTAATGAATGCCGAGTTCTTCGTGACATAAGACGCTGTGATGGACTGCTGGCCATGTCAACAGTTGGGGTGTTCCTCCAATCAAGGATGCTCTTCCACAAATCATCTCTATTTTTCTTAGACTTGCGCACAATGTTCTTAGCAATTTTTACAGTTGCCTCTGCTTACCCATTGGACTGACTATAATAGGGGGAAGAAGTAATATGCTGAAACCCCCAATCACATGAAAAATCATGAAAATCAGTTGATTTAAACTGCGGACCATTGTCTGTTACTACAACATCTGGCGTTCCGTGACGATCAAAATGTTGTTTCAAACAGTTGATTACTGTGGCTGCTGTGGTATCTGGAAGAAGGTCAAGCTCAAAAAAATCTGAGTAATAGTCAACTGTGACAAGGTAATCCTCAGTTTTTAGAGTAAAGATGTCAATTCCAAGTTTTGACCATGGCTGGTCTGGGACATCATGTGTCATTAGTGGTTCTTTCTGTTGTTTCCGTAGAAATGTGCTGCACGTGCTACACTTGCTGACAAAATCCTTGATCTCCTCATTCATGGGAGGCCAATACAATGAGTCCCTAGCTTTGCGTAGACAAGCCTCAAATCCTAAATGGCTGGAATGAGTGCGGCGTAGCATTTCTGGTCGAAGAGCTTTGGGAATGACAACACGGCTGCTGCGGTAAATAATACCGTCTTATATTGTGAGAGAGTCTCTGACATTCCAATATGGTCGTATTGGAATAGGAACATCTTCTTTAGTATCAGGCCATCCTGAAAGTATAACTGTCTTTAATTACTGGAGATTCTCATCCTTGTTGGTCAAATCTCGAATTTGATTCAGTCTCAAGTCTGTGACTTTTCTAACCCACTCTGCATGTTGAATATGTGCTATTTCCTCAGCGAGTTTGGAAGTGTGCTGTCCATGATACTCTGGAGTTGCACGAGACAAGGTATCTGCGATGAACAACTCTTTTTCTCTGGTATAAACAACATCCAGGTTGTATTTCTGGAGGCGCAGTAACATTCGCTGGAGTCGTTTTGGAGCTGACAAAAGAGGTTTCCTGAAGATCATTTCAAGAGGCTTGTGGTCTGATTGTACTGTAATACAATCCTTACCATATATGTAATGGTCAAATCTCTCACATGCAAAAACAATTGCAAGACACTCTTTTTCTATCTGTGCATAACACTGTTCAGTTTTAGAAAGTGCACGAGAGGCATAGGCAATGAGTTGTCCATTTTACAGTAATGTGGCTCCAAGGCCAACTTCACTTGCATCGCACTGAATTGTGACCTCCTGATGGACATTATAGTATTTGAGTACGGGTTGATGACTCACGAGACGTTTGACACTCTGAAATGCTTCTTCCTGCTGCGATTGCCAAGACCAAATGGCTCCTTTGTCTGTAAGACGTCGCAAAGGTTCGCAGGTTTCCGATAGGTGAGGCAAAAATCGAGACAAGTATGTTGCTAGACCAATAAAACGTTGCACTGCTTTTACATTTTCAGGTCTTTTCATATTTGTAATGGCGCTTACTTTGTCTGGATCAGGACGGATGCCTTCTGCGGTAAGTATACTGCCCATATATTTAACTTCAGTCTGACGAAGTTTGAACTTGTCCTTGTTTAGCTTAAGTCCCACCTCACGAGCTCTTTGTAGAACTGCCGTCAAGTTGCGGTCATGATCTCGAATTGCTGATTCCATGGTCTGTCCACAGCCGTAGACTATGATGTCATCCATCACACATTCTGCTCCTGTTAGTCCTTCTAACACTTCATGTTGTCTACGCTGGAATTCTTCGGGCGCTGATGAAATGCCGAAGGGTAAGCGCAACCATCTATATCGACCAAAAGGAGTCCAGAACGTTGTTAGAAAACTGCTAGATTCATCTAATTTGATCTGCCAGAATCCTTCTTTTGCATCGAGGACGGAGAATACTTCTGCATTCGCAAGATTTGGTAATATGTCCTCAAGGGTAGGCATGATGTAGTGTGATCGCTTGATAGCTTTGTTCAAGTCTCTGGGATCAATGCATATGCGTAGCTTACCAGGTTTTTTCACGGTTAGCATACTACGTATCCAGTCTGTTGGGGTAGTAACTTTCTTGATCACACCTCTGTTCTCAAGATCCTTCAATTTTGTGTGAATTTCCTGCTTCATGGCTTGATGAACTTTTCTGGGTTGATGCTGAACTGGCTTGACAGACGGATCAATTTCAATCTTGTACTCGCCTGGGAAAGATCCTAGGCCCTCGAATACATCATGGTATGTGTTCAACAGTTGACTGCGCGTTAGTGGTTCAAAGCTATTCTTAACTGATGTATCAACACTGTTCACAATATTCACAGATAACAGTCCTAACCTTTCACATGCTTCAGCTGAGAGCAGTGCAGTTTGATCTGTATCTACCACATAAAAGTTCAGACATTCTGTATTGTTTTGTACTGAGCAGATAATGTCAACAGTACCTAAGTGCTCAAGCTTTGATGTTCCACCATAGAGTCGAAGAGCCTTGCTGGTTGCTTTCAATGGTGGACAACCATTTTGGGTAAGAATGCAGTACTGCCGAAATCCAAGAATGTTACATGTTGATCCAGAGTCTAGTTGACAGATTACATCTTGATGAGTTGCATTGTCAATCACCATGTTGACTTTTGTAAACCACTGTTTACCATGTGTTGTCTTCACTGTGTAACAAGATTCACAATCACTACTGTCATCTGTTTCATCAACTTGAAGAACAGTTTTGTTAGCACTCTGACACACTGAAGAGAAATGATTTTTCTTTTTGCACTTGTTGCAGATTTGTCCATAAGCAGGACAATTGTTTCTTCCTCTTGCATGCCTTCCACCACAGTATTTACATTTAAAATCTCCTTTGTTTGAGTATTTTGGTGGTTTTGTTGAAGATCTTTTCTGCTGCTTTGTATCTTTCATGTGTTTCTTATTTCCTCTTGCTGCATAGTTGACTTGAGCTGTATTATTATTGTAAGTGTCACTCTGTCCTTGTAGTTTCTTAAGCTGGCAGGTAGTTCTCTCACTGGTCCTACACATGTCTATGGCACTGTTAAGGGTAAGCTTAGATTCTCTGAGCAATCGTCCACGAACACTTTGGTCCTTAGTTCCCAGTACTATCCTATCACGAATCATTTGGTCCATAATATTGCCCAACTCACATGTCTTTGCAAGTTCTCGTAGTCGGCACAAGTAATCATCAAACGATTCATTGGGCATCTGGTCTGCCGTATTAAAGATATACCGTTCGTAGATCACATTTGTTTTTGGCATGAAGTGACCATCTAATGCTTCTAGAATTTTGTCAATATCCTCTCTGCCTTGAACACTGAGTGGCAAATTTTCATAAATTTGAAAACAATCTTTACCCATCACTGTCAGTATTGTGGCTATTCGAATAGGTTGTTCCTTCATTACAAGGCCTGTGGCAATTTCATAATTGGCCCACTGAGATTTAAAAAATTTCCAGTTCCCCCTGATGTCACCTTTCACTACCATTGGGGCAGGTACGGGTAAGTCTTTAGAGGCCATTATGCTATGCTTATTAACAGTTCTGTAGCTTTGTATGGGAAAAAATGTGTGTGTATCAAAGGTACTTCTCATATAATTAAGCGAATTAATATTGCATAAAAATTTCGTACTGTTATTGTAACACAATGTCAATTCTACACCATAACAGAAGTATGCGTATTCTGGGGTAGAAAAAATGGCGGCGTGCCAAACACGTGTGATGCTGGGACGTTAACTTCAACGAGCGAAAGTGAAGGAAAATACAAGGATTATCGGGGCTGTACTACTATACGCGATATCTTGGCTATTCTTTCTCACACTTCGTAAGGAATGTGTTCCGGTACTGTCCAGTTTTCATGTGTCGTGGTGTATTCTTTTGCTGAGATCTTCACTTCTGACACCATGATTCAGTTCAACATTTTATTGATTGATGCAAAAGTGATGACGTAATACACAAGTACACAAAGGGGTCAGCCTAATCAATGTACATCCTAACAATACACACTTCCGGTGCCTGTGATAAAAGTTGAGAAAAGATAGCAGAAATATACGGAGAGCCTATGAAATAGGAAGTGCAACTGCATCCCACTTTTCCCTTCCTTGCAACACAGGTTGAACAAACACATATTTAATTCAGCTTTATGAGTGTATTCACAGTCGTCCGATATGAGATACATGTACATTAAGTAGTGGGCCGTGTAACATCCCTATATCAAATCGTGTTATCGGTTGTTTGAAACTTATCAGAGTAATTTATATTTAATCGTGACACTTTTATTTTCGACACCTGTACGAAGCATGCCCAATTATTAATTTTATAACTCGTTAAAATCTTTATGCATTTATACATGTAAGTGTTATGTACAATAAATATCTTGAAATAAAAATGGTCACAGACCTGCTCCCCTCCCCCCCCCGGGCTGTCAAACAAAACTTACATTTGTACATCCAGTTATATAAAACTGACATTTGTACATCCAGTATTATAAGGACCAATGCACAACACATAAGGATAGCTCATTAAACTATCAGATATACATACATACATACATACAGAGAGAAGAAACTATATATGATAACAGAATTTGAATTTAAAAACATGAGATTGGAAACTTTTCTAGGTTTATAGAGTGTCACAATTAAAGAATTGACAGAAAGATGAGTGTCTACACTCAAAGGTGCTTTATTACTATAGCCAACATAAAAATTGAATAGACTTGCTGAATATTGTTTTACTAATTGTGTCGCGACTGATATAGAGGCATGAATAAAAGCAGACAGAGTGATACGGGGCGCATAGTTTAACGTTGTTTCGACTGTCTGTTTGTCGCAATAACTTTAACCTTGGAAATAACTTGCGAAGGGTTGGCGCTAGGACTTTCATATTTCACCTATGGATTTCTAATGAAAAAAAAAACATTCTTTGGGTTCCATTTTTTGAACTATTGACCTTGACCACGGAAATTTCATTGACCCATCAATTTTATAGTCGTCTCGAAATGAAAAGTCGAATCATATATTTATTCTTACATAGGCCGTACCTTCAGTAATCCTAATATCATCAGTAGTTATATTTAATAACAATCATATATTGACATGTTTTCAGAGTGTTATAAATGTAGTAAATTTACGCGAAAAATGTTTTTATAATGGAAAAAAAAAACCAGGTAACCAGAAGATCAATAATCCGCAATTGTTCTAAGTTCTTATTAAGTAGATCAATTTTGCTTATACGGGGGATTCCGATTATCAACAAAACCGAAATATTCAAAAAGCAAAAATCATGAAACTATTTCTTCATATTACAACTTAGACCAAACTCGTTTCACTTTTTTATAGTGTCGATGTGTATTTACATATTTTTATGTATTTCATCCATTTCAATACAAATTAACAATAATTATTCTGAACACAAGTTCTTAGATTTAATCTAAGTTTTGTGGTTTATATATATCGAGGGACTATATCTCTACTTCAAATCTCAAGACACCATTTATGAGGTAAAAAAAAATTACCCTTAAATAAAGGTTAGCAGGAGTTGTATGTAAGACAGAAAGGCGAAATATCCAATTATATTTTCTTTTAAATGCAGGTTATATAGCACACAATGACATAAAAAAGGCGTCTAAATATTTAAAGAGCTTGACTGAAATCTTAAAGTACATTTATTACGAATGAAAAGCTAACTTTTACGACGCTATTTTCACTTCCTCGTCTGTATTTTGAAACGATATCGATGTAAATTTTTAAAAACGTCATGATTCAAAACTGAATAGCTTACTCTGAGTATCAGTCAATGTTCTGTTGTTTAGGTTTATATGTAGACAGAAAAGTTTATAATTACATGTATGTATTCGTTTTTATTGTAGTCGTGCATAATTGTCATCATTACAAATGAAAAGAAGTTAAAATATAGTTCTTTGAAAAGAATAATACTCAAAGACACAATATTTTGCTCATCTTTAATTTTTTTTTTATTCGACAAATTTTAACTAGTTATTCTAACAAAACATTTTGTTAAATTCTTGTGAAATGCTATAAAATCCTTTGAATAACTTTTTTTAAATAAAAAAAAAATGAACAAATGGACTGTTCTTACAGTACTGGACCAGGAATGGTTTAACTTACATTAATATTAAACCAGACAATCGCTTCTACAAATTTGGTTTGATTTTATTAAGGTTCCACTATATAAAAGCAACATCTTTAATTTAGACACCATTTTAACAGTGACATGTTGTTAAGCACTGTAGCTTGAGCATTACATCCCTGCAAACCATTGTTATGAAGTTTACAAACTTGTTTGATTTTTCAAGCAATATATTCTGTTTTAGAATTAATTATTTAAATTGCATTTAGCAACAGCAGATTTTTATACCCCACGCAACAAGTTGCGGGGGTATGTTTTTGACCCGTCCGTCATTCAGTCAGTCAGTCCTGTTTTTTTGTCAGCGCAACTCCTCTTAAACCGCTGCACGGAATTTCGCCAAACTTTACAGATATTTGGGACACAATGTGTAGATGTGCATATTACAAGGAAATTTCAGTTCCTTTAGTTTTTCTGGGAATTTTTGAACTTTTCAACTTAGATTTTTGGCCATATCTCGAATATAGAGATGAACAGTTTGTCAGCGCAACTCCTCATAAACCGCTGCACAGAATTTGATCAAACTTTGCAGATATTTAGGACACAATGTGTAGTTGTGCATATTACCAGGAAATTCCGATTCCTTTATTTTTCTCGGAATTTCGGCTCTTTTCAACTTAGGTTCTGTTCATATCTTAAATATAGAGATAAATAGTTTGTCAGCGCAACTCTTGATTCCATTATTTATCTAGAAACTTCAGCCCAATTAAAGAGCTAAAGCCACGAACCATCATATTTGGCCCTGTGTTTTTCACAAAAATAAAGTTTCGGTTCAAGAAGAGTACTATACGTTAAATATTAGAGGACAACATTCTTCTTTTCCATACATAACTTATATCGTTATATAATGCGCCATTAAACACGTGCGACGGTTGGAAAATGCGACGGTTTCATAAAAACGTTAAAAAATGCCGTTTTTTCGACAGATTTTCCCAAAGTTAGATGTGGCCACAGTCAAGAACAACTTTTATACTTCCCATAGATATAGATATTACCGATACAAATCTTTATGTTTAATATCGTTGTTGTTCGTGGCTGTGGCCAATATGAAATTTAATTTTATATTTAAATTTTGATGGATCAAATAATCATTAATTTGTAGATCAATCGTTTACATTCAATTCATGTAATAATAAAAAAATATAAATTTCACAAAATATGCTAGAAAATCAGTAAATTGTTCATTTAAAACGCTAAATGTGAAAAATAGTCAACTACATACATTTTCTGAAATAAATGTCTGGAAAAACTTTGTGGTTTTTACTAAGACTAGGTCATTATGTATGACGTTACTAGTAATACGTCAGTTGTGACGTCATAAAGGCTGTAAATTATTTGGGATGTTGCTGAAAAGCTTTTAACACTCTAGATAGTGCCCCTACATGTATTTACATGTATATGATTTAATTACATGTAAAACCAACTGGATGATACCATCAAATTATAAGTTATCAGAAATTCCCGCCACGGTGTCTTTCTTTACTACCCCTCCCCCCTCCCCTCCCTGAAATAATTCAAAATACTGTTGTTAATAGTGTTATCAGGCATGACTTAAATTGTAAACAAATTAATAGAGAGTGTAGCAGAGATATCACGCTATACCTTTTTAAAACAAGCGAAATAATAATGATATGGGTTGCTGCCCAAAGTGAAAATTAAAAAAAAAAAAAAATGAAAAAAAGGAATGAAAAAAATACGCATTAAGATTATCATCTGCATTTCCGCACCGAAATCCACCTTTTTTATGTACATGCAGAAGAATCATCTCAGTTGATTAACAAAATTCAGTTATAGCCATGGCTTATACATGCTGATACAAAATAATGTATAGTTATAGTATGCAGTTATGTGAGCACCGATATCGGGTTTCGTCAAAACACTTGCACATGACGATCCCGCGCCCGTGATCAAAACAGAAGAATATATCGGTATATTTTTAATATGTCTGTATTTATTAAAATCGAAGTGAGGCTATTGACGCATATGTACATAAAACACATACCCGATCTTGTCATCCATTGTGAAACATAATTCAAATATACCCCCAGTGAGTAAAATTGCATTAAATGCATGTCGTATGTCTTAGACATCAGTATAAAATGTTTTTGCATTTTTTGTACTGTGCTCCAAATATTTCATTGTAACTAACACAATTTAATTATTAGTATAGTTATGCAGTCAGTGAAAGGGTAGTGATTATAGGTCTATTTAGACAAAACATAAATTAAATAAATAAGTACACTACATATAATTTACCCAAAGTTTTTATCCGTCATCATCTCTTCATTGCAACTTTATTAGTATACGGTTTTATCTAAGAATTCAGCGATGTGAAAACACATGGAGAGAGAGAGAGAGAGAGAGAGAGAGAGAG